AGATTGCAATTAATTTTGGTCAATTCCAACTCTAAGCATAGGATTAGCTACCTATCCCTCATTTTCACCCCCACAGCAGATAGCTGTGCATGTTCCTGGACAAGTTTACACATAGCTTACAGGGCAAAAAGGACAATGTCCTTCAAACCATTGGGGATCTGTACTCTAATCAACAATTGTTGCTTCTATTCCGGAAATGCAGATAAAAAAGAGAGTGAACAGTGCTGTTGCATCTCCCCTCAATGCTGCAAGCCCCTCACCTCTGAATGCATCGATTCCCAGGGGACTTAAAGGGCTGGTACCTCTTTTGTCCCTTCTGTCATTTCCATTTTTTTCCCTTTGGGAGCCAGACATTAAAGACCAGACATTGTAAAGCAACTACATATAAAGGGAAAATTGGAAAGTGACCACCCATGCTAAGAGAAAAGCACAGTTCAGAGAGGACTTGAGGAGACCTTAAGTTTAAACCTTAGGTTGAACCATGGCACAAGGACAGCCTACAACTGTTGGGGGAAAAAAAAAACCTACATAACAAAAGCCAGCAAACTCTCTAGAAGGTAGAGAATTTGATATGCACAGGTACCACATCATTAATTTAAGTGTCTACTTTTCAACAACAACAAAAAAAATCACAGGGCATACAAATAAGCAGGAAAATATGGCTCATTCAAAGCAAAAACAAATCAACAGCAACTGTCGTTGAAAAAGATCTGATGGCAGATCTACAACAAAAAGACTTAAAAAAAATAAATTCTGAAAATGAAAAGTACAATAACTAAAATAAAAAATTCACTAGAGATATTCAAAGGAAGATTTGAGCAAGCATAAGAATCACAACAAAAATTATCGAGGTTAAGTAACAGAAAGAGAAAGACTGAAGAAAAGAAAGAGAGCCTAAGGGACCTGGGGGACACTATAAAGGAGACCAACTATGCAATGTGGGAGTCTCAATGAAGGAGAAGAGGGACAGAAAGAGGCAGAGAGAATATTTATGAAATAATATCTGAAAACTCACCAAATTTAGTGAAAGGCAGAAATATAAACATCTAAGATGCTCAACTAATTCCAAGTATGATGAAGTCAGTAAGACCTACACCAAGACACATTATAACCAAATTTTCAAAAGATAAAGATAAAGAGAGAATCTTGAAAGCAATAACAGAAGTGACTTGTCACAAAGGGTCCTCTGTAAGATTATCAGATTTCTTATCGCAAACTCTGGAGGCCAGGGTGCATGGGCCAATTCATTCAAAGTGCTAGAAGAAAAAACAGTGTGGACCAAGAACGCTATCTGGCAAAACTGTCCTTTCAAGAGTAAGGAGGAAATTAAGACAGTCCCAGATAAACAAAAGCTAAAGGATTTCATTATCATTAGACCTGCCCTGCAAGAAATGCTCAAAGGCGTCTTGCAGGGTAACATGAAAGGACACTAGACAGTAACTCAAAGCCATATGAAAAAAAAAGAAAGATCTCAATAAAAGTAAATACAGGCGTAATTATAAAAGTAGGTATTATTGGAACAATAATTTATAACTCCACTCTTTTTTTATACATGATTTAAAAGACAAATGTACTTTCTAAAAACTATTAGTCTAAAAGCTAGTATTTTTGTAACTTTTGTTTGTAATTCCTCATGTTGTTTCCTACATAATTCAGAATTATTAGTGTTATGTTTGGGGGGAGCACATGATGTATAAAGATGTAATTTTGTAACATCAACAACCAAAAGGGGTGGGACAGAGCTATAAAGGAGTAGTTTTTATATGTTATAGAAGATACAATGATACTCAAATCTAGGTGTTAAAACTTTAGAATGTTAAATACAATCCCCATAGTAACCACAAACAAAAGAGCTATAGAATATATACAAAAGGAAATGTGAAAGGATTTTAAACATTTCCCTACCAAAAAAACAACTAAACACAAAAGACGACATAATACAGAAAATCAGGGACAAAAAAAAAGCTATAAGGCATACAGAAAAGAAGCAGCAAAATGACAAAAGTTATTCCCTATCAGTATTTATTTTAAATGTAAGTGGATTAAACTCTCCAATCCAAAGACAGAGACTGGCTGAATGGATAAGAACACATGATTCAACTACATGCTGTCTATAAGAGACTCACTTTAAATCCAAAGACAAAATAGATTAAAAGTGAAAGGACAGAAAAAGATGTTCCACACAAACAGTAACCAAAGGACAGCAGAGATTGCTATATTAACATTAGACAAAATAGACTATAAATAAAAAAGGTTCCAAGAGATAAAGGACATTCTATTTATAAAGTTCACTACAGCAAGAAGACATAAGTATTATAAACATGTATACACCTAATAACAGACTGCAAAATATATGAAGCAAAAACAGAATTCAAGGAAGAAACAAACAATTCTACAATAATAGTCGGAGACTACAATACTTCACTCTCCATAATGGATAGAACAATGAGACAAAAGTAAAGAAACAGAGGACTTAATATCATAAACCAATTAGATCTAAGAGACATTCTACTCAACAACAGTATATACATTCTTCTCTAGTGCACATGGAACACTTTCCTGGGTAGACCATATGTAAGGCTACAAACTAGGTCTCAACAGACTTTAAATGATACATATACAAAGTATCTCCCCCAACCACTAGGGGAAGTTAAAAATCAGTAATGGAAATAAAACTGGAAAATTCTCAATTTTGTGGAAATTAAATAACATACTCTTAACCAATGGAACAAAGAAGATATCATGAATCCCTTATGACTACTGATGTAAAAATCACCAAAATACTAGCAAAATGAATTCAATACCATAGTACTGAAAGATTATATACCATGATCAAGTGAGATTTATTCCCAGAATGCAAGGATGATTCAACACATGAAAATTGACCAATGTAATATATCACATTAACAGAATTAAGGGGAAAAATGCACATGATCATCCCAGTTGATGCAGAAACAGTATGTGACAAAAATCAACACCCTTTCGTGATAAAAACACTGAACAAACTAGAAATTGAAGGGAACTACTTCAACATAATAAAAACATATCTAAAAATCCCACAGTGAATATCATACTCAGTGGTGACAAATGGAAAGCTTTTCCATTAAGATCAGGAACAAAGCAATGATCTACTGGCTATGTATCCAAAAGAACTGAAAGCAGATTCTTAGAAAGATATTTGTACATTCATGTATAGCTAAAACATAGGAGTAATCCAAGTGTTCACTGACAAGTGAATGCATAAGCAAAATGTGGTGTGTGTGCACACACGCACACACACCTATATGTAAATATATACATACATATATATATAATATTATTTACCTTTAAAAAGGAAATTTTAACATATACTTCAACAAGGATAATCCTGAAGACATTATGCTAAAGGAAATAACCCAGTCACGAAATGACAAATACTGTACGATTCCAATCATATGAGGTACTTAATCAAAAATAGAGACAGAAAGTAGAAGGGTGGTTGCCAGGGTCTTGGCAGAGGATGAAATGGGGAGTGGGGGGTAATGTTTAATGAGTATTCGCTTTAAAAGATGAAAAGGGTTAGGAAAACGAAGGGTAGTGATGATTGTGCATTATGAACGTTATTTAATATCACTGAAGTATATACTTATGGATGATTGGGATACTGAATTTTATGTTATGGGTATTTTACCACAATAAAAAAATTTTTTTAAAGAGTATATATCAAGATATCAAAAAAGAAGTGACAAAAAAAGAGAGAGGGAGAGGGAGAAAGAGTTATCAAAAAATAAAGTTAGTGTCCTCTATGTAGAGGACACTCAATAAATTTAGCTAATACCTAGCACTTCCTATATTCCAGGCACTGAATGAGGCACTTGTATAAATATAATTCATGGAATGAATAATTCACCAAAATCAAACAGCCACTGAGGGTTTCAATTCAGTTAAGTTATTCAAAACAGAAGCAGCAAAGATGATGGAAGATTTCTATTATAACCAAAGACAAACAGATTTCACAAAAAGAAAGATGCAGACTGACTGAGGCTCTTGAGAACATAGAAAGACCAAAAATATGAAATTAGCTAGGATAATGGTTGAAGGAAGCCACTCAGGAAATAAAAGAGGGCTTATTAGCATCAACTGCAAAACCAAGGTAACATACAGAAAAGAAGTCAACTCAGGGATACAAGGTAGCAAGAAATTAAAATGGAGAGAAAAAACTTGGATATTAAACTCATACAGAATGGAAATTTGAGACAAGAAAACCGTAGGCACTACAATCAGAGTAAAAGAGATGGCTTCAAGGGTAGAGGGTAAAGAAAGAGAGATGAAAAATACAGAGCACAAATTTTGAGTCCAGAGTGAAATATCAATGAAACTACTTACCATTATATTCACTCTTTGAGTAAATTTTCAATTTTAATTTTGTTTAACATTCTTAGAAGATATATAAAAATAAGATTTTCATTGCAAGTATATACGAATTTAAATCAAACTTCATAATATGTTCTTATAAAAATGTGTATTTTGAAGACATTTAATTCATCTGATAACTTAAAAGGGCATAAAGTTAAAGTCAATTGTAAACAATAAAATAATCATATAAATCATGACGAAAGTTTATCTCAATTTTTTTAAATACATACAATTATTTGATTTCATTCATTTCTTAGAAATAAAAAGATGTAAAAGGATCACTCTAGACAGTTACTAAATTTCATATAGATGAGTAAAAGAAAAAATCAAGAAGATAATTAAACTCATACCTGTTCCAATGTGCTGGGAAGGTTTTGTTGGATGCATGGCACCATGACAGACATTTTGCTGAACATTACTCTGTGAATGGATAAGGCCAGTTTGTGTAAAGAATTGGTTCAGAGAAGAACAGAGATCAGCAAATTGAACCTGATCTAAAGACCAGTTCTTGAGATCTGCCTGTCTCATACTCTCCATCAAACCTATGAGGAAAAGCATTAGAAATACAGTTAGCATAGTTCTGCAAATATTGCAGAGAAAACAGCAAGACACAATTTTTTTTTTTTGGCCTTCAAAATATCCACTGGTAGTGATTTGTCCATGCAATGAATAACATTTTAAAATTATTCAAAGTCTCAGTCTTTCAAATGTGGCCAAATTTCTTTCAGAACTCTTGTCTGTGACCCTCTGCTACAACTGACCAAAAGACTAAATTATGAATTTTGCAAAGTGTTATTTTCAAGCATACTACTAACTGCAAATAAAACACTACATAAGGAGACATTTATTTTTATTACAAAGAAACTTAATCTACTAAAGAAAACAGGATGTATATTTGGTTGTATGTCAAATAGAACCAATACTTGCCTTGGAACTGTGAAAGGTCTACATCTGACCAGTTAACACTGCTGGCAATTCGACAGCTTTCTTTCAGCATATCAAGTGTTGCATACCAATCATTGGAAACACCTATAAAAGTAATATAGACAATACTATGAATCTTGGAGATTGGTTTTACAAGTGGAGTCACAACCATTATATCATATGTTGGGGCAACCTGCTCTGTGAGACAGGCAGGAAGAGTATTATTTCTCTCCACTTTACAAATAAAAAAATCCTGAACCCAGAAAGATAGTATAACTTAGCAAGGTCACCATAATGAATATAAGACTTGAACCCAAGGTTTCTAAGCTCTAGTCTGGCATTTGCAAACTGTCAAACTGCTCTTTACATTTGTACAGTACAAATAAATAACTAGGCAATGTAAGTCATAAAAATCAGTATCCCTCCCTATATAAAGTTCATTTTACTGTCTTGTGACTTTAAGAGATATGTTCTTTATAACTTAAATGCAGATACACATTTAGAAACAATGCACAGTATAACTTAATGTACTGACTTAAGGGAGGTAATTACATTTTATAGCAAGAGAACATGTTTCTTACAAGGCAACCTTACAAGTGAGAAATGCCTTAACACAGTCCTCCTGTCAAGGTAGCAAGAAAGAGGGCTGTAAATTCTGTAAGAAATGCTGATGAATCCAAACGAGGGCATTTCTAGTCAGGAATAGTATCCTCTAAAGCAACATCATCAGAAGAGTTAACACTCCACAGTCTGTATGTCAGCAAAGTAGTCACCACTCCAAGGCATGGAGCAAGAGCTGCACTCAATGAGATAGTGCTGAATAGAGAAAGAATATCCTCCATTCAGTGACTGCTGCTCAAATTATTCTATTTTCAGGATCATCTCTATAGAATGGATAAAACTAAGACTAAAAGAGGTTTTTTGCTACATCACAGAAAATTCTACATGAACTACTGGCTACTTGGATTTACAAAATTCTGCCAATTATGGATTTTGAAAAAATAAACAGTGAACCAGAGACAACACGACCCTACTCTCAGGCAACTCATAATTCAGGGAGAAACTTGCTGGGGGAAAAAAATAATGCCCCAAGTGAGCCACAAACATCCAAGTCTATCAGACTTTCAGATCCTATAATAAATGCTGACTTGGCTACACAAAATGAAGCAATCTCTGCAAAGAGAGTGGCTGAGCAAACCCTACACACTCAGTAAATGTTTGTTATTTTAATCCTTTTAGAATAGCTGGTATTATAGGCTCTTAACTCTGATAGGCCAGGATACAAGTAAATTCCAGTTCTACCACTTAGTGGTATGATCTTGAACAAATTGCTTAATTTCTCTGAGTTATACTTTTGCTACCAAATGTGGTAATTTATATTTGATTTGAGAGAATGAGATAATGTATCTGAATTGCCTCCCATATAATAGGCACTCCAACAACTGTTAGTTTCCTCCATTCCTTCCCTGCCACTGACAACCTGCTCATTAGTCCCACTTATAAAGGACAATTTTATAATTCAAAGAGATTAATTATTAACACAGTCACAATAATTTTTCCTAACTCCACAAGGTGGAAGTCTATTCCCCTTCTCTTGCAAGCTACCATTGGTATAACAGGCCTTTAAGGGCACATCATGAGTCAGTTTTTTTCAGCTGTACTAGTACTTTTTTCTACTGTGACAAGCAACAGACTTAACAAAAAGAAAGGTACGACCAGAGCATTGCAAACTTCTACCGATACCCAATCTCTACGGTCATTAGTCAATCCTCAAAATCATATTAAGAACAAGCTTAAATTTTTGAAAAATGTATTGACATTAAAAGGTAGGCAACAGTAATTGAACTAAGAGTTACAAAAGGGGGGCTTTATTATATACCTTTTTTCTCTAGGCATAGATCAAAAAATAATCTCAAGATGTTTTAGGAGATAGTCCATCAAGGCAGAAACTATACCCAATTTTCAATTTTATTCTACTTAGAATTGGTAATAGGAAACAAAAAAATTGTTCAAAGAAACACTAAATTCCAAGTACCACTTTGTAAATAAATTAACAGTTCTAGAAAAAATTAAGATTTAAAGCAAAATCAGAATATAAGAGACAGTATGCACTACCTAATGCTCATTTCCCTGACAACAGCAATGGTCAATATTTAATTGGTGAATAAAAACTAGCACTGTCTAGCACTTAGCAATTGCCCCTTCAGATAAAGATCTCATCAGTGATATGGCTGGTAGGTGGACAATCAGGCAAGCTGAGGGAAGGACCTGTGTACTTTGTGTAACTCCAAGGGGTCTCATTCACCTTGTAGTTTATCTGTGGCACCCCCTGGAGTTCTACAGTACAAAGACTGCCTGGTCTAAGAAATGACAATTAAGCAACTCACCAGAAACCATCAAGACCTAAGTGGAAAACAACACATTTTTTTAAAAATCAGGATATGAAAAAAGTTTTCTTCCTATGGAACCCTTCATTCTCAAAGAAGATAGCTGGCAGGAATTAAGCAAAGAAAGGAAGAGTGGGAATATTCACTGAATACTTAAATGCAAGATACTAGACTAGGTATTTCATATTTGTATTCTCAATTTGACCCTCATTACAACAATACTGTCATAACAACAGAGGGTATTTTACTTTCATTTTTATAGATGAGAAAGTAACAAGACTAAAAGAAGTAATTACACTTAAGGTCTTAAAAGCCATAATGAGGATTCACATACAGGCCTTTCGGACATAATCTATGCTTTTTCTTCTATACCACACTGAATCATAACAGACTGTAGATAGATTGTACATTCCATTCTTTCAAATACAGCTAATCCTGGAACAATATGAGTTTGAACTGTGTAGGTCCGCTCATACACAGATTATTTTCAATCCCCAGCTGGGAATCCATGGATGTAGAGGGCTGGCTATATGCATTATTCTATGCCATTTTAAATAAAGTACTTGAGCATCCATGGATTTTGGTATCTGAGCGGGACCCTAGAACCAATCCCCACTGTGGATACTAAGGTATAACTGGAGAATCGAAAGTTATACACAGATTTTCAATTGTGTGTGGCTGGGGTTGGTGCCCCTAACCCTTGCATTGTTCAAGGGTCAACGATATTCACAAAAACACTTGTTTTCCAGAAAGACAAAATAAGAGTTAAAACGAAAACCTACAAGGGTTGCTGAGTTTGCCTATAATGCCAAAATAAATTTTAATCAAGAAAATCTCTAGGTCAATCTATGGACTAAATGAATTACAACTACAGGATAATGGCAAGGAAACACAAAAACGGATGGGAAGAGTTGGTAATAAATATATATAAGCCCCAGATAACAAAGGACAGATCTTAATTCACAGTTAGCGAAACACAAGTCAGGAGACAAAAACTTACCAGAATTACAGGATACCTGTTGTGGGGGTGGGGGTGGGGGTGCCTGATGTGTTAACGTCTGATGCTGATGGTTCGAATGGTGCTGCATGTGTTGATGTGGAGAAGGGTGCTGGGGATGAGGGGACTGGAGCTGGCTGTGTTGCTGTGGGTGAGGTGCTGGATGCTGGGGACGCTGCGGATGCTGTGGTAAACCATGCGGTCGATGGGGCGGATGTGGAGACGGCTGTGTGTGCATCTGGGGGTGGGACAGCGAGACTTGTGCAACCGAATTACTGCCCGTGGTGTTGAGGCCACTACCATGACTGTTGGACAGGTTGCTTTGGTTGCTGTGTGGGTGAGAGCTCACTGTACTGCTAGGAGAGTGCTGATAGGAACACGAAGTGTGGGACTGCTGGGAAGATTCGGAAGGGATGTTCATCAAACCTAAAAAGTCAGAGAAAGCATGATCATTTATGGTTAGATATCGGTTATATTTTATGACAAACATCTGCAAAATAATTTAAAGAGCAAAGGTGTATGCTGTCAAAAAGCAACTTTGATTCAGTAACAAGCATTGATGGACATCCACCCTACACTGGGCTCTGGAACTGAGTAAGAAATATCTTTCCCTGCCTTTGAGTAGCTTATGGTCAAGTGAAAGAGAGACACTTAAAGAGATTATGTCTAACAGTAAAAGTAGTCAGGCAAAAGTATACAGAGGGGTTACAGGAACTTTGCTTCTTGCCTGTTGAGGTAGGAAGGGGCTAGAGATACAGAGAAGACTTCTTTGAAGAGGCACTATATGAGCTGAGTATTGAAAGATAAGTAAATGTTAGGGGAAAAGTAGGAAAGGTGCTGAGTCACATTCAAGATGGTCTCTGTAGGATTGACGACCAAAGCTTTGACAAAAGAGGAAAGGATTAATAAAGTTCAGTCATTTCTTATCTCTTTCTTTGACTACTCAAAAAACTTTAAGTCTAAGGCAGCTAGGATCCTTAAAACTAAGCAAAACAAACAGCAATCTCCACTGTTCTTTTTCATTACTCTTATAGAACATTCTCAAGACACAGAGTTTACGGGTTAAGACTGCAAACTTGACAACACCAAAAGTAGAGATTAAAGTCTCTGCACTGCTGTTTACACACCTGGAAACTCTCCAAGCCACAACTACCTCAACTATAAATAGGTATGATAACAGTATCCACTTCGCGGAGTTGTGAGGATTGAATGCCATGATGCAAGCACAGGCTGCAGGATGAGCTCAGTAAATGTTAGCTACTATAATGAAGATGATTAGGCCAGAAGTGCCTAAAGCTAAAAATAATGTATGTTGGGTCTGCACATAGACATTTACTTTAATAAATATGTTGCAACATTTGATTCTATAACTAGGTTGTTTTCATATCAAAAGGATGGCTAAAGCATACACCAAAAAAAAAATGTCGTTAAATAAGAAATAAAATTCTGCAGCATAATGTCAGTCAATAAAATAATCAAACTTTTAAAATAAAAATAAAATTATTCTCATAGTTGTCATTAATGGTAAAATTGCATTAGAGTACATTGTAAGAAAATTTTAAAACTTAGTAGGTTGAGGTTTTATAAGTACAAGAGCTAATAAAAGTTCTTGCTTTGGCCCTGGAAAACTGTCATTACAGGGAATCTACAGTTGTAACAGTAAGATGAAAGAAAGCAGTTTTTTTATCTATTTCCAATAAAGTCCTATCATTTTAAGATGAAATCTAGATATAATCTATACCAACATTTTCAATCCCAAATTATTTTTAAATAAAATAAAACAAAATATCTTTCAGAAGTCCTATATGTAAAACTGGTAAATATAAGGCTGCTTTTTTTGAAGGCAGGGAAGGAAGCCTACTAGATCTCTTCATCTGCACACTTTTACTCCCTGAGACCATCACAAAATCCAAGGACTCCAAAAGAACAATTTGAAAACCACTGATCTAATCTTCTTCACTGTACAAATGGGGGTGCTGAGTTCTAAAGAGGTGAAGTTAACTCAGTTGACTTCATGGTAGAACCTGGAGTAGAACCCAGAATTTCTATCAATGCTCTCTCTCTCTTTTTTTTTTAGTTTGATGAAATAGCATTATGGGCTTCAGAAATCATCACCAAGGTTATTTCAAAGCCAGTATTTTTCTATTATGATAACCAAGGTTGGATCTGCTTAGCAAAGTCTTATATTAGTTTTTTTTTTTTGTACCTTTATAGATAGAAAATTTAAGATAAAATTTGAGAAAACACATGAATCTTACTTTATCCTAAAAAATCAACTTCCTATACAAGTTACTGATATCCATTGATATATATATGTAAAACACTTGTATATAACATTAATTTTCATAATATCTGACACTGACAAGTATTAAAATGAAAACTCTCTAGGATTTTTGTCTAAAATATTTTGTTTACTGCTGTAAACAGGTAACTCTGAGTTGGGGAATAAACAGTTAATCTGTCAAACAAAGAAACTAGGAAATGCTTCAACAGTAGAGTTTCTAATAATACTGACTAGTGCTCTATGGGGGAAAGACAATGTGACATCTTAATTCTATCACATGCCTCTGACTAAAGTTAAACCAGCAGCTAATGGCACAGTAACACATAAGAGCAATTACCTAGCATTTGGTGGAGATATAATACTGCATCTCAACCAAAATCATTTTTAGTGTTAAAGTCTGATTTAAGTATGTTGTATAAAACAATGACCCAGAGAATATTACTAACCAATGTGTTCACTTACAAGTACCATACATGAAATTACAAATTTGGTGTTACCATATTCCAATAGTTATCTCTTTCCTAATACCAGTAAGAACAGAACATTTACTATAAAATGCTTCACATGCCATCCATCACTAATTAACCGTGGCAGTCTTTCCCACATAGCACAGATGCAGTGTCAGAATTCTCTGATGCAGTGGTTCAGGACACCACTGGTAATCATATGAAGCAGGCATACAAGATGGTATTTGTCTTCCATTCTTGTGCTATGAAATATACACAGTGCATAGCAAAGGCACAAAGAGCATTCAATCATGATGATAATGTTCTAAGATTAAGGAAATATAACAACTGCTATGTTAAAATCATTCTTAAAAGAAAATTTTTCAATAAAAATTTACTTTACAAAAAATATTTCTAAAAACCTCACCTTGTTGACTAAGTGACTGCTCAAAAACTGACTTATAAAGGCTCCGAAATGAGGCACTGAGATCTTCAAAATTATATTCTGAGAAAAGCAGTTGTTTGTCTCGTTCTGGAAGGTTGTACTGTGGCTGCTGTTGAGAAGTTAATGACTGAGAGACTGGTTCTGGATGATTTGTCACCTAATATTAAAAGAAAATAGTATTAATTTAATAGCTCTACAACAGAATTGGCTTGTTACATAAAATATACAAAATATATAACTGAAAATATTAAAAGTTTCTAGAATGCAAAGAAAATAACTTCTTTCTTTGGTTTCCCAACCTGTTTTAAGTTAGATATACATAAAGTAAGACCATAAAATTAACTTGGAATTTGAAGAACCACAGAAATCTAATCCAACCTCCAAAATTCACAGAAGAGAGGAAAGAGTTCCAAGAAGTTAAATGAACTTCCCAAGATCATAAAATAAGTGATCAGCTAGGCCTGAAACTCTTCGAGTTTCTGTAGAATCTTCATCTTGATTTCTACAGAAGCAATTTCATCTTAAACATCACTGTACTATGAAACTACTAATAGTCCTCATTCATTTATTCAATTAATCTTTAAATATTTAAACTCAAACACAGTTTGTCTGACACTGCCCAAAGCAGTAAGAAACTTCGATACACTTAACTCATCATTTGTAGAGGAATTTTTTTTCCTAATGAAATTGAGGGAAAATGAGAAATGAAAGGTAAAAGACAAAGGAGATTCTGAGAAAAACAAAATAGGCCAGGGGTTTGAGCTATGTGGGGTGGGGAGGGGAGTAGGGGGAGGCATCATAAACACCTACAAAATAAGAATTATCTTTGAAAAAACGCATCTAGAAATAAAATTAATAAAAAAATTATTAGTTGTATCTCTTAAAGGTTATATCAAATGGTGGTAAACTACCATTTGTTTCATGTTTTTGAAAAATTAAGATATGAACACTCATTGTGAATTTATGTAGCCATTCAAAATAATGCTTACATGGAAAAAAATGAATTATGTGTAGAAGAATGGCTCTGCCACTGGCACTCTGGCAAACCTTACACATCTCCATACAGGCCATGTAGGCAAGACTCAACAGCAGGATGACCTAAGCCTTTGTGGAACACCCCGTGATTATTTTGGAACACTTTTTTATTTGCATTTTAATTACGTTTGGTTTAGTTTTAAGCACTAAATGAGTACACAACAAAGAAGTTCACTTCACCAAGACTTACTGGTGTATAACTGTGCACACTTCCAACACTGTTCAAATTAACAGATGCCAAACTCTGGTCTGAGAGACTGTTGTTAAGGCTACTGCGTGGGCTATCGCTACCATCCTGATCAGTGTTGTATAATGTTACCTAGAATGAAAAGAAAAGTAACATTTGAACAATTATTATAAAAGTACTATAAAGAGTACTTTTAAAGCAACTCTATAAAAATACAACTAAGCTGGGATATAGCAGAAAGACAAAATGTTAGTGTAGGGGTCCTTCTTTTGGTTCCATGCCCTTCATTAACTCCATGTTCACCATGAAATAATCTACTCTCAAACAAAAGGATATACCTATCCAGAGGTACATAAATTCAATTTATTATCAGGTATAATTAGTTCATCAACATTCAGTGAGAAGGGATTATAGTAGATTTTTACTATTAAATATTTCTACAATAAATTTATTTTTATTCAAGTTTTAAGCAAAAAAATGCTTTTCTCTTCTATCAAAATCTTAAGCATTAAAAAAACACAAAAAAACAGAAAATATTTTTAAAATTTCTAAAATCATAGGTATCAGTCTATAATACTGAAAATTGGAAACTCAACTATCCAACACATTTGCAAAATCACAAATATATGATCTAATTTTAAATAATAATAATAAGCTAACACATACATGAGATATGAAGAACTATATATCACACTGTTAACAATGGTTAAAAAGCAGTGGTTAACTAACTGGGTATTCCTAATGACCTTCATTGCTGATAATATATATTTTACAATGCTTGAATTTGTTTATAATAAGCATTATAACTTTCAATTAGAAACAACAAACATGTTCTTAAAACTGGCCTAACTATCCTTCAAGGTTCTATTCAGATGTTACTACCAACATTCCTGTCGATGCTCCAACTTTCCTGTCGATGCTCCAACTTTCCTGTCGATGCTCCAACTTCCATGGGAACAATAAATACACAGCTTTAAGTCTAATTTTTATCAAATTTTAATCCACTAGACTACCAATAAGTAATCATAAACAGCACAGTGCTTTCTGCTCAGTATACAATTAATATATTATTGCTGAATTTAATAACCAACTGAGCCATCACCATCCTCTTGTCTGTGCTGAAAATGGAGTCATGCTCAATGCTCATAAACATTACCAAGAGGCTGAAAATGTGGAAAACTAGGCATAAACGCCTCCGTACTTAAGGCTAAACCAAACCATCCACATTCACATCAGCTAGGAACAATCACATGTCTAGGAACTAATAAAGGAAAAGAGTACAGCAATTTTTGCCTTATTCAGTTTCAGTTTACCCATAGTCAACTGCTGTCTGAAAATATTAAATGGAAAATTCTGGAAATAAACAATTCTTAAGTTTTAAATTGTGCACCACTCTGAGTAGCGTGGTGATGAAATCTCATGCCATCCTGTTCTGTAACATTCAGGATGTGAATCATCCTTTTGTCCAATGTATCTACACTGTACAGTCCAATATAATACTTTGAGAGATCACATTCACGTAACTTTTACCCCAGCATATTGTTATAACTGTTCTATAACTGTCAATCTCTTACTGTGCCTAATTTATAAATTAAACGAATCATAGTATGTATGTATAGGAAAAACATAATATACATATAGGGTTCAGTACTGCCCATGGTTTCAGGCTTCCACTGGGGGTCTTGGAACTTATCCCCCACAGATAAGGGGGAACCACTATATAAGAAAAAATGAGAAAGAATAAAGAAAACTGGCAAAGATTTTTCTGGTACATACTTACAGTGTAAACTTCATTTAAAAAAAGAAATCAACCTTATGGCCTCATAGGAACAATCAAAAAGCTATAAAACAGTACAATATCAATAAATCACAAGCATCCTATGGTCATTTTCTAGGCTGCTCATTCTCTTCTGTCCATGCTCTGTTGCCTATCACTCAGGTCAGAAATACTTTCCATCACCTTGGATAGATCTTCACGGCTTATTTTATTTGGAAGGAGGATAAACATTTTTACTAAACATATAGAGAGTTAAGTATACAAATAAATTACTAGTTTACCTATTACAAAATGAGCATACTCATGTCACCACCTACATCGAAGTATAGAACAGCAGTTCTCAAACTTTGATCTTAAGAATCCTTACAGTTTTAAAAATTGAGGGATCAAGGAGCTTTTGTTTAAGTTAATGTCAATAACTGAAATATTAGAAATTAAAACAAAAAATTTTTTAAATATTAATCAATTTTAAAATAATTGTAAATCCAACTATATTTTAACATAAAAAATATTTTCTCCCAATAAGTAAAATTAGAAGAGTACCACTGTTTTACATTTTTAAAAATTTTATTAGTTTCAAGTATACAGTATATTGGTTAGACAGTTATATAAAATGATTCCCCTAATTGTTTAATTTTTTTTTTTTAATCTCAATGCTTAGCTTAATAGGAAACAACTAGATTCTTATATCTGCTTCTGCATTCTATCTGTTGATGGAAGTATAGAAAGAAAAGCCAGCATATAGCGCTCTCTCTCTCTCTCACACACACACACACACTACAGCATATAGTGCTCTCTCTCTCTCTCACACACACACACTATACATATATAATATATATTATATGTATATTATATATATGGAAAAAAGAACAATTTTAGTAGACTTTTCAGATAACTGACAATGGTCTTTTTTGATACTACATCAAAACATGACAAGTGATAATTTTTTAAAGACTGGTTACAATATGGAATCTAAAACCCTATCAACAAATTTTTCATACTGTTACATTAATATTCTTTGTTCTACCTTGTACTTTGAATGAATCATTTATCCATGCATGATTTGCAACATTATGCACAGGTTATCTGGAAAACATGAGTTCTCTAGGTTATCAGATCTTCCAAATATTGACACATTTCATTATAAAACATAAAAATATCACACTTGTACACATTACCAATAATCTCATTAGAAAAGACTGAGAAGCTATCAGAGCCACTATGGCGACTACAGGTTTTCCAAACTTCTAGTCTGAATTATCACTGGCAAGAAATATTATCAATTGTTCTCTCTGAAGTGACAGACTTTGTTCCTTTTCAAGAAAACTACTGCCAAATACCCAAATCTAAATAATCAGTGTAAGCTATTCTTTCAAGTAAAAACAGTGATTCATGAACAAAGCAGCTACTTCAACATCCAACTCAATCACACAAATGCTCTTCCTTGAAGCAACCACTGTACTTCAATTAAGTGCTTTATGCATACTTCCCACTTCATCACACAGAACATTAAAAACACGTTTACTCAAAGGTCACAACTTAAAATATTCTTCCTGCCTCACCAAAGATACTAATGTTGTTTTGTTTTAATCTGAAGTGTGTGTGGCATTGAAGAATACCTATTACAATTAGATGGCATGGCCCTGATTTGTGCTAACATTTACATATTGCTTTTGCTACATCAGTGAAAATACAAAAATAAAGAAAAAGGCAAATAATATTTTAATATTATCATAAAAATAGTTTTGACCTCATAGGCTCTCTTAAAGGATCTTGGTTACCTAGGTGTCCACAGACCACAGAACGGCTGATAGAGACCATTACCAGTACTCCAGATAGCCCACTCATGTACTCCCAATATCATCATTCACCAGCCAGTCATTATTTATCTCCATTCTCCTGTCACTGATAACCAGTATATGGGCTTCTACCAACAATGAATGGTTTTCTTAATTATTTTTTTTTTTTAACTAAGTATAAACGAAATCATATATCTTTTTCTGTCCTCAGGCAGTAAATTTAGCTAAAGGATTAAGTTTTGTTTTCTATTGCATTACTATCTATTCTCAATCTTTATTATTTCCTTCATTCCATTTATTAAAGTTCATTTTATTCTTTTTCATCCAATTGAGAACTTTGTTTTATCATTTATATTTATGTCTCAGATCCATATGAAATTGACTTTTATGAATGGAAAACCTGATTTTTCCATTAATCCAGCACCATTTGTTGAAAGACATCACTGAATTGTTTAATAAGTCTATTTATTCATGTGCCAATACCACACTTTCAATTATTATAGGTTTACTCTTGATATCTGGAAGTACAAATTATCTTTTCTTTTTCTCCAATATTTTCTTTACTGCTTGCCATTGGGATTCCCATTTATATTTTAAAATTAGCTTGTCATTTCCTATTCTCTTACTTCCTCCCAAAAAAGATCATGGAATCATATTAAATTGTAGAGCAATTAGAAAAAAATCAACTTTACAATAATATCCATTTATTTATATCTCCTTTATTTTATCTCAGTAAATTTTTTAGAGTTTCCTGTGTAGAGTTCATCTTTCATTTATTCCTAGGTATTTGGTGTTTTTGAATGTTAGCATGTTACCTTTTTAATTGTATTTTCTGACTGTTTATGGCTAGTATACAGAAATACCATTGATTTCTAAAATCAAACACTGATCTTATATCAAGACTTTGCTAAACTCACTTATTAATTCTAAGAGTTTATCTGTAGATTCTTTTGAACTTTCCCTATAATCATGTCAACTGTGAATAATAGGTTAATTTCTGCCCCCCCCCAAACTTTATGCTTTTTATTTCTCTTTCGTAACACTTTCATTTCTCTTCTTACCTGAACACTATTATTGTCACATATTCTACTTCTGCATGTTATAAAAATACAATATATTTATGTTATTTTTGCTTTTAACAGTTCATTATCTTTTAAAGAGATTCAAATTTTTTGAAAGTTTTATATTTGCCTATGTAGTTATTTCTTTGTGTAGATCCAGATTTCCATCAGAAACTTCAACTACAAATATATTAGGTTGCTTGAAGTTGTCTTCACAGCTCACTAAGGCTCTATTTACTTTTACAGTCTTTGCTCCATGTTTTTCATTTTGGATCATTTTTATTGCTGTATCTTTCCTTCTACAATGTTTAATCTGTTGTTAATTCCATCAAGTTTATTCATTTATTTTTTTCAACTTATGTAATTTTTATCTCTAAGAAGTTTGAGTTTGTTTTTCTACTATATTCCATGTAACTACACACATGTTCAACCTGTCCTTTAGTTTCTCCGTAGAATACAATTACAATAACTTTTTATTCCCAGCCTTGAGATGCA